GGGGGGGGGGGATTATCTTCAGTGGGGCGTCTTCTCACGCCTCACCCTTGTATACAAGTGATTTATCGGTGCCTGAAAGCCGTCCAAGAGCGATAACTAGCTTATCCTCTTGCGACAACCACTAGGCTATTTGTTTCTAGTGGCGCTGTGCCCCCCCGATCGGAGCCCACAGACTTTTTCCCTGCCCTTTCTCTCCAAACAACAGCTCAGTTGACTGTAGTCCTTACGACCAGCCTATATATACTTGCTATCGAGTTCACCTCAAGGTGAAACACAGCTTGCCTATGCTTGCTTGCCACTACACACCTCTGATCAATTAGCCTATAATTGTATGTATGCACTCCTGACCGCCACTTGCTCCTCAATGTCTAGGGAACTGTGGCGCATCTGGCGATGCACGCACCTCGTGCTGGCCCGTCTAACCATGAGAAAGCGGTCCTAAACAACGGGTGCTTTTAGACCGTCCCGTTGCAATAGAGACGGCGGTGTTGTGAGTTAAAGCCTATACAATAAGCTGTGACTTTCTCCCTCTCAGCCTGCACTGCTCCAGCCCCACACACACACGGGGAGGTTTTATACACACACCCAAGGCTGCAGCTGGAGCCGTGTTTTTACAGAGAGGCGATAGCAGTAAATATCTCTGGCTGCTTATTTTCAACTGCTATGTTTGGCCGCTAAAATCCGGCGATTTGTCCAATACAAATCTTTTACATTACTTTCAATTCACACAGAAGCTCCACTTCACTGATGCCTTTCTTTAAGGTATCTCTAAACATGAGCTGTGCATGCGTGTATGGCACTTCCGTCCCGAGCAGCACACACAGAGGAAATCAGCCAGGACTGAGTCCCCAGACACTGATTCCCTGGGTTTATTATCCCCAAATGTTCATTAACCAAAACGAAACGCAGCCGCTTAGTTTCACAGGTAATTTTAGGATACCGTCAATCACAGATTCTGGTAAGGCAATGTCCAAATGTAGATTTGAAAATCACACTTACCAGCTCTGAAGATCTCTTCTCATCTCAAACCTTTATTTAACCAGATTGGTCCCATTGAGATCATAGATCTCTTTTTCAAGGGAGACCTGCAGCATATAGGTTCCACATGAAACATAAAACAATAAAGGACATCATACATTATATTTACAGGATACATTTACATAGTTATAGACATTTACAAGTGGCCATAGTATCAACGAGCATTTCATTTAGCCTAGCTTTAAAAACATGCAGAGGAATGAGATTGCTCAGTTTCAATTCTTGCTGAAGATTGTTCCAAGCAAATGGAGCTGCGCACATAAAAGCTGTCTTACCTAAGACAGTCCTTGCTCTTGGCACATCTAATAATACTACATCATGCGATCTCAGACAATAGCTGCTTGCAACTCTCTGTGTTATCAGAGAGCAGATATAATACGGGAGTTTACCCAACAAAGCTTTATAAATAAACGTGTACCAATGACTGAGCCTCTTTACAGTAAGTGATGGCAGACCTGCCTTGGCATACAGGGTACAGTGATGAGTAAGTGCTTTACAATTTGTGACAAATCTCAGTGCGCTGTGATAGGTGGCATCTAACTTGTTCAGGCAATAGGCAGGTGCATTCATATACAACAAATCACCAGAGTCCAGCACAGGTCAAAAGGTCACAGAGCCTTTTCCTGGCTTCAAAAGAGAAACAGGACTTGTTTCTGAAAAAGAAACCTAGTCTAACCCTCAGCTTTTTCAGCAGGTTATTGACATGAAGTTTAAAAGTAAGACAATCATCAAGCCAGATACCTAGGTATTTATAACTGGTAACCACTTCAAGTACTTGTCCTTGCATAGTAACAATATCCAAAACAGAATCTGGTGTCTTTTCAGCTTTTGAAAATAGCATTACCTTGGTTTGATCAACATTTAAAAGAAGCTTAAGTTCAGCAAGCTGAGTCTGAATAATGTTAAAAACAGCCTGTAATTTAACACCAGCCTCCTTAATGGAGGGACCTGCACAATAAGCACTAGAATGGGTCAACAGCCGCCTCCACCTCCACCTTTTAATGCCACTGCGCCTGACGATCTTGGGACAGAGGGGCCAGCCCAGGTTATCCTGCAGTCCTACCCTGTCCGAATAATTTTAATGGAAGAAAGTGGCTGGATTATTCAGTTGTGGCTGATGCTGCATTTTGCTTTCCATGTAGAAAGTTTAACATAGGGTGTAGTGCTAATGCAGACAAAGCCTTCACACAAACCGGCTTCTGTAATTGGAAATGTGCAACTGATAGCACCAAAGGTTTTTCAAGACATGCATCCAGCAAGGAACATTTGAAATGCAACGCTCTCTGGATCGAATATGGTGCTCGTAGTGCTACAGGATCTGAGGTCTCCACGCTTGTTAATGAGGGGCAACTGGCAAGAAATCGCCAATATTTAAGTGCGATCGTGGACATCATTGAGTTCCTTGTGTCATACCAGCAACCGCTCAGGGGGACGTTGGATGCTGTGGAGTCAAGAGAAGACGTGGAAAGTGGACTGTTTTTGTCTATGATGGAATATACACTGAGGAAAGACCCGGCCTTAGCAAAGGCATTCAGCACTATTCCGAAAAATGCCACATACACATCACATGACATTCAAAACGAAATAATAGGGCTCATGAGTGAAATAGTGACCAGTAAAATAGTTGAAGAAATAGGAGACAGCTGGTACACTTTAAAGGATCCAACAGGTTGTGAAAATGTGTCAATCGTGGTCCGTTATCTAAATAAGAACAATGATATTCGTGAGAGACCGCTGGTAATGGCCACTACGAAGCATTGTGATGCCCTAAGTCTGACAGACCTTGTCATTTCTGAGCTAAGAAAGGCAGGTTTAACAACAGACAAAATCCTCAGCCAGTGCTATGATGGTGCAAGTGTGATGTCAGGGAAAAGAGGAGGCGTACAGAAAATACTGCAGGAGAAAGTTGAGAGAGAAGTCCCATATGTGCATTGCTTCAACCACCAATTACATCTGGTGGTTATTCTTCCTCAGAGAACACTCTGCAAGTCTTTTTTGATGTGTGTGACATGCTTTATCGGTTTCTGAAAAAACTAACAGTGTCCGCAGTGTACACAGGACAACGCCTGAAAAGGTTATTGGACCAAAGGTGGACCGGTCACCTAGGTACCGTGTTAGTCATAGTCAACACACAGTTATGACGCTGTCGAGAAGTTCCTTGCGGAGATTGACAGCAGTGGCCTTCCCACCCAACTAAGAGTAGAGGCAGCAGGTCTCCTAAAAGCAGTTCAAGAGCCCCACTTCAAGTTTACTGCGGTTATGGTCCACAAAATCCTCGCCCTTCTGGACCCTCCTAACAAAATCTTGCAGGATAAAAAAACAGACCTCTACACTGGAGTGAAGGTTGTTAAAAGTGCGTTGGATTGTGTGGTGCCCAATTTCACCACATTTACCCGGGAAGACCAAAGGTGCTACAAATTTGAATAAATTACCCATAATTCAACGGAAGTAATGGTCATTATTTATTCTTGCTAAGAACATAGTATGGAACCATCCATTTGATGTTTGTGGCAATCAGATGTAATAACTAGGGCTGCACCTAAAAGACTTAGTCCGTTGTGCGATGCGCCGTGACTCGTGACTTTTCTACATGTAACATTTAATTTATATTTCAAAGGTTCATTATTACAGTTTTTTTTATATTTTATATGAAGCACAATGTACCATGCTGTTATAATAACGTTATTTATCAGCCTTTGAAACTGAAACCATTTTGGGAGAGAAAATAAATAGATAATATTAATAATCATAATATATCATAAACGTGCAACGATTAGTCGACTTATATGATATGGCCCTAGTAATAACCTCTTTTTACGACATAAACACTTTTGGGAAACTGGTAAAGGTGAAGTCAGTTATCTCTCCTTCTTTCTTCAATTATGGCAAAAAAGCCACAAAAAAAAGAAGAACATTTGAGAAATAGCACTTTTGTGTTCTGGAAGTGTTTTGCCCCATCCTTTTTGGACCTCTCTAGGTATCTTTCCATGTGTCAGTCATGTTAATCATTAGTTAGGCTTGTCATCAAAGAGCTCTATTGATTTAGCTTGACATTGAGTTCTAGGAGCCTACCTTGTTTGCTCTGTCAGTACACACACTGACCATGATCAGGGTTAGGGCTAACCATAGCCACACAGAGGAGGATAACTGAACCCACTCGAAGCTACAGTCTACGCTGGAAGCCAGCATACAGAGTTGTTTACATATACACGGTATATCTGCACTGCTGTCAGTCTTTAAGAATCTGAACATTTTCTGATGATAAGGTTGTGTTTCCTACAGAAAAACATGTAGTACATTGTTCAAGCTTTTTTATAAATCTATTTAAATATATGTTAAAGCATTGCAGTTTAGTTGAATACATTTTTACCTAAAGTTATGGTTTCAGTTTAAATGCAAAGGCTGTTAGATAAACTGTAAGAATGGAAACAGATTAAGGGTTTTCGGAGTAAGCCGTAATAGGAGTTGCAGTGTTATCTGAAGTGTCAACACTGAAATCTTTTTATGAATCACAAGTGTTAGCGCTGAAAGCAGTATGGTCAGGTTTAGTGTAATATGAGTGTCCTATGATGAGTCAGCTGAACTGGTTAAGGGATCTGAAGGGCCATTATTTGCAGACAACAGCTGAACTTCGGCTGATCATTTTGTTGATTATAAATAAAATGTAATGTATGATTGGCTAAGTCGAGCAATTATATCATTTTTAAGTCAGCACCATTTTCCAGTTGCCTTCGTATTTCTTCGAAAGTTTGCTTTGTGGGAGAACCTGCTTTTGTACTTTATCAGGAACAACGCAAACAAGGTTATCAGATCTCTTGAGGGCAGAAAAAAAGCTTGTAGGTGTGTTGTAGCAATCCGCTAACCTACCTCTACCTTCCCAGGTAATTGTGGCTGGACTGGGTGTGACCCTAAAGAATGTCAAACAAAGAGAGAGTGGCTGGGAGCTTGTCATAACGGGAAATAGAGGATTAACCCTCCGTGTTCATTTTATACAGCAAACACTGCAGTCAGCTGGTGTGGAAACAACATCCCTTCCCTAACCTAGCAGTGACAGTGGAAAGGTGAGTCTCTGCTTTCCTTTGACCTTGGAGTGTGATTGCTAAACCCCCTGCTTGTTTTAGCTTGACTTTGAGTAATAGTTCCAAGTGTTTTTTTTCTCTATTTAGGTGTAAATGTATTAGAGGTTTGTTACAGGTCCAAGGCTGCCTGCAGCGGGACGGGAGGGAGGGAGGCGGGGGGTGTTAGTGAAATCAAGTGAAGTTCTCTTTCAAGCTCTGTGAGCTTTGTCACGGCTGAGTTGGGATGAATGAAGTCCCTGTTCTCAGAAAGATCAACGCTACAGTAAGTTCCTGTGAGATCCAACTTCAGTGGTCGGCACATTTTAAATGAAAGCTTTCATTTGAGTTTAGCTGCAGGGATTAAGGATGTTTGAGAACTGTTATATAATTAATTGTTTGACAGTTTAAGGACCTGTATTGCTGTGTAGCCTTTGTTGGGCTAGCAGCTATAAAAAGGTGGAAGGACAGGTAACTAGACTCGGAAAAATCTCCGTTCTTGTAATTTGAAGCGCTGATCAAATAAAATCTTCTTTAGGTCTTTGTGGTTGTTTAAAGGTCTTAGTCTTCTTTTATGGTACTTACATTTCATTTCATTTCAAACCTTTATTTATCCAGTTTGTCCATTGAGATCATAGATCTCTTTTTCAAGGGAGACCTGCAGCAATTAGGTTCCACATGAAACAACATAAAACAATAGAGGATATCATACAACATATTTACAAGCTACATTTACATACTTATCAACATTTACAAATACCCATAGTTTCAGAGCATTTCACTTAGACTTGCTTTAAAAACATTCAGAGGAATAAAATCGCTCAGTTTCAATTCTTGCTGAAGATTGTTCCAAGCAAGTGGAGCTGCGCACATAAAAGCTGTCTTACCTAAGACAGTCCTTGCTCTTGGCACATCTAATAATACTACATCATGCGATCTCAGACAATAGCTGCTTGCAACTCTCTGTGTTATCAGAGAGCAGATATAATACGGGAGTTTACCCAACATGGCTTTATAAATAAACGTGTACCAATGACTGAGTCTCTTTACAGTAAGTGATGGCAAACCTGCCTTGGTATACAGGGTACAGTGATGAGTAAGTGCTTTACAATTAGTGACAAATCTCAGTGCGCTGTGATAGGCGGCATCTAACTTGTTCAGGCAATAGGCAGGTGCATTCATATACAACAAATCACCATAGTCCACCACAGGTTAAAAGGTCACAGTGACTAGCCTTTTCCTGGCTTCAAAAGAGAAACAGGACTTGTTTCTGAAAAATAAACCTAGTCTAACCCTCAGCTTTTTAAGCAGGTTATTGACATGAAGTTTAAAAGTGAGACAATCATCAAGCCAGATACCAAGGTATTTGTAACAGGCAACCACTTCAAGTATTATTCCTTGCGCAGTTACAATATCCAAAGCAGTCTCTGGAGTCTTTTTTGCTTATTGAAAAGAACATTACCTTGGTTTGATCAACATTTAAAAGAAGCTTTAGTTCAGAGAGCTGAGTCTGAATAATGTTAAAAACAGCCTGTAATTTAACACCAGCCTCCTTAATGGAGGGACCTGCACAATACATCATGGTATCATCCGCATACAAATGTAAAGTAGCTTCATCCACATGTTCACCTGAGCTGTTAATATATATGGAGAATAAAAGTGGACCTAAAACAGAACCTTGAGGAACACCATTAGCAATGTTTAACCACTCAGAAGACAGCCCATCAAAGTAAACACATTGGGACCTTTCAGAGAGGTAGTTCACAAACCAACCCACTGCATGGCTGGATATGCCGATACTGAGTAGCCTCTGCTTTAAGATGCGATGATCGACGGTATCAAACGCTTTGGAAAGGTCAATAAATAGAGCTGCACAACTCTGCTTATTATCTAAAAAACTCGCCACATCATTCACCACTTTCATTGTGGCAGTGATGGTGCTGTGTTGCTTTCTGAAGCCTGACTGATGTTTAGACAGGATATCATTTTTACGTAAAAACTCCTTTACTTAGACCCTCCAGAAAAACGCGGGCTAAAATCCTTGATTATGCGATTAAACATGCAGGGTTTTTATGTGATTGTATGCGGTGAAATTGCGGGAAGTTGCGAAATATGCTAAATATGTTTTTGGAAATATTGGGCTGTCTTATTTATTCTCTCTCACACACACAACCTGCCACTTACGTTAAACCCCTTTACTATTCAATTAAACACATTCAATGTTTATTTATTGTAAAAGCAATTGGGCTATTTTAATCACACTCTCTCACACACACACACACACACACACACACACACACACACACACACACACACACACACACACACACACACACACACACACACACACACACACACACACACACACACACACACACACACACACACACACACTTCTCCGCCTCATTCTGTTTTAATTTACTCGTTCGTTATCTGACCAGCTTCAATCTTGTAGGCTTCTCACCTCGTTTCTTGTAGCCCTCGAAAGGGTTTTGGAGGTTGATGCCTCGGTGAACGTGAGTTGTTTGGCTTTCTTGTCCGCAGCAGCAGAAAGCATTTTCGAATGTTTGAATGAATCAAAGTGGGTCGTCACCGTGGATTTTCTCTTATGCTCCAACACACAGTTGCACGGGGTGCAGAATAGTTTCCCCCTACTTTCGTGCAAGACATCGGGGGGTACTGCTTTGCCCGGTCTTTAGCAGAAATGTTCGTCGGTAAATGAGATGGATTAGATTTTTTCATCTTGGTGTTTTCTCTCGTGTGAGTTCCACACGTTCACTCTATGGTGTTGTTTAGCTTCTGTGATGCGCAAGCTGATGACGTTGCGTCATCATCATCATCACTACTTCACGTCAAGACGAGTTAACTTTTTTCTCAACTTTGTGTGGAAAAATGCGGGGATTTTGCTGATTATGCGGTAAATTATGCGATCGCATAATCGCGTTTTTCTGGAGGGTCTATTTACCTGTTCACTCACTAGGCGTTCGAGCATCTTCGCCAGAACTGACAATTTAGAGATTGGCCTATAGTTGTTTAAAATAGTTGCCTCCCCTCCTTTTAGCAAAGGCAAGACATAAGCTGACTTCCATACTTTTGGAATTGCATTTGAGCTGAGGGAGAGGTTAAAAAGAGTAGTGAGAGGAAGAGCAATAAAATCTGCAGCTATCTTTAAAAAGAAAGGTTCTACGTTGTCCGGGCCATCCAGTTTCTTAGGATCTAGCTTAGATAAGGCTTCATGAACAACATTAACAGTAAAAGGAGTCAAACTGAAAGGGTTTTCCAGACCACATTGTTCAGAGTCACGGATTGGGGTGTTCACAGAAGCAGAGTTAGTCACAGAATCAAACAGAGAACCACAGGACACAAAATGCTCATTAATAGTAAGGGAAATATATGAAAATCTGCAAAATAAATCCTTACCAATCAATTTCTTCACTAATGTGTTTGTAAAGGTGTGTAGTAAGATGTATTAAAAAATTGAAGTTCAAATCCTGTATGTTTTTTCGTAACAACTGCTCAAAGTTGAGGTACCGAATACCGATTTTCGAAAAATCTAAAATGTTCTGTTTGGCCTTGGGTAACTTGTGAGGGGTCAAACTAGGGGTTTTTCATGATTCTGAGTTGATTGCAATCATGTATTTTTCACTAAAATCATTCCTTGGTTGAAAAAAGGCCACGCCCACTCTTATATTTAAATTCAAAAGTAGCTTTATTTGTAGTTACAAGTAGTTACAAGTGCTGATCACTTCAGGAGTCAATCTCTGAGTCTTCTCCAGACTCACCACCATCATGACCACAATTCTTGCATGAAATTCCTTTACAGACTCCACATGCTGAGATGCACTTAACGCCATTCCTCTTGCAGCTGCACTGCCGGTTGCTGCAATCTCCGTTACAGTTGCAGCTTGTGAACTGCAGTAGCTCCTCAGGAGCCATGGGGTCTAGTGTTGGGACTGGCTCATAGCCATGTACACCTAATGTCCATCCATAGTCACTGGGGTTCAGAGACATACTCTGCAGAAGGATCCAGTCCTGGGTTTGTAGGTAGGCACGGAGAGAATGCTGTGCAGCTGCACCCTCTGTTGGAGGTAGAGTTTCTGGTTTGATCAGCCCTGCCGCTGCCTTCCGTGAGAACATGTTGTGTCGAATTTCACCCAAAGCAGTACCTGGTGCATGGTAAATGTACTGGAAGATGGTAGTACCAGCCTGTATCACTGCATCCTTAGTAGCTTGTGTGTCAAGGAAGATGTCCATGTGTTCATCAATGTCCCCTGCACAGAACCTGCAAAAAAAAATGCACTTTGAGATTTGTTTCAAATATAAAGTGAAATAGAAACAAATTATTATTATTATTACCTGTCAAATAAGGTTGTTTTCCCATGGCCAGCTATTGCAGAAAGCGTATCACAACCAGTGAAGGCGTGACAAAAGAGCAGGTAGCATCTCTCTTTCAGAGAGAGCTTCGCGGATCCTTCTGACATCATAAGAGCCCTTTGATGTTGTGAAGAAGAGTGGATGGTTGGTGCTTGGAATATGGTGTACTAGCATCACCAGCACATCTGCATCTTCTGCCCGCACCTGAAAATAGAACAAGATATGCAAAGCGTGTTGCACTATACAAAACCAGATAAAACTATTCAAGTTTGAATACTCAAGAGTGAATACTTTTGTTTCCAAAATAGGCTACCTACACAAATGCTACTAACCTCAACAGAGTCATCTGTAGCAGTGGCCAATGCCTCTCTCACAATCGAAGTGTCAGCATCATTGTCACACTGCTCCACTGTGATGTTGTGTTTTCTGAATGTTGAAGAGAGGAGGTGGATTAGCTCACTCTTGTTATTGGTGTTGTCCCAGGAACTTTGCTCTTGGTGTCCAGTGTATCTTTCCCGGTCGAATCTGGAGATCACAGCATGACTTCTTAGTGCGCCGGATGTGGTCATGATCTTTTGGTGATCGGCTGTAGCCATCAAAGACCACAATGGTCTTCTGAGAGCGGCGGCCAA